CCTTGGGGATGTCCAGTACTTCTAGTGGAGAAGAAGGATGGATCGTTAAGGATGGTTGTTGATTATCGTGCGTTGAATGAAGTGACGATTAAGAATAAGTACCCGATGCCGATGATCAATGATTTGTTTGACCAGTTGCAAGGAGCTAAAGTATTTTCCAAGATCGATCTACGATCGGGATACCATCAGCTGAAGATTCGAGAGCAGGATATACCTAAAACAGCTTTTACCACAAGGTACGGGCTATATGAGTATACCGTTATGTCATTTGGTCTGACTAATGCGCCTGCCTATTTCATGAACATGATGAACAAACTGTTTATGGAGTTTTTGGATAAGTTCGTCATGGTGTTCATTGACGATATATTGGTCTACTCAAAAAATTGAAGAAGAGCATAAGGAGCATTTGCATTTGGTTCTCGAGAAGCTCAGGGAACATCAGTTGTACGCCAAGTTCAGCAAGTGTGAGTTTTGGTTGAAGGAAGTTGGATTCCTCGGACATGTTATATCCGGAGAAGGAATAGCAGTAGACCCCACCAAAGTTGAATCTGTGACCAAATGGGTAGCAACCACATCAGTTGGAGAGATCAGGAGTTTTCTTGGACTCGCAGGATATTACCGGAGGTTCATAGAGAATTTCTCCAAGATTGCAAAGCCCATGACGGAGTTGTTGAAGAAGGACACCAAGTTCAATTGGACTGAAGAGTGTGAAACCAGTTTTCAGGAGTTGAAGAAGCGTGTGGTTACAGCCCCAGTGCTGATTCTTCCTGACCAACGTAAGGATTATCAAGTGTATTGTGATGCTTCACGTCGAGGACTTGGAGTAGTGCTTATGCAGGAGGGAAGAGTTGTTTCATATGCCTTGCAACAACTTAAACCTCGGGAGCTAAATTATGCCACCCATGATTCGGAGTTAGCAGCCGTAGTGCATGCGTTGGAGACGTGGAGACATTTTCTCGGAAACCATTGTGAGGTGTACACGGATCATAAGACTTTGAAGTATATCTTCACACATAAGGAGTTGAATCTCAGGCGAAGGAGATGGTTGGAGCTCATTAAGGATTATGATATGAAGTTGCATTATCATCCCGGAAAGGCTAACGTATTAGCAGATACGTTGAGTCGCAAGAGTTGTGTCAACACGCTCATAACCGGAGATTTACTCAAGTAGTTAGCAGAGGATCTTCGCGAGCTATGTTTGGAAATAGTTCCGAGAGGTTATCTAGCAGCATTAGAAATTTATTCCACTTTGATGGATAAGATCCGAGAAGCTCAGAAGGCTGACAAGGAGATTGCTGAAATAAAGGAAAGGATGAGCAAAGGAAAGGCCAAAGGATTTCGTGAGGATGAGCACGATACTTTATGGTTTGAGGACCGCGTATACGTGCCTAGTGACCCCGAGATCAGGAAGTTGATTCTGCAGGAGGCCCATGATTCGTCGTATTCGATTCACCCAGGAAACACCAAGATGTATCTAGATTTGAAGGAAAGTTTCTGGTGGACAGGAATGAAGAAGGATATTGCTGAGTATGTAGCAGTATGCGATGTATGTCAGAGAGTTAAGGCAGAGCATCAGAAACCAGCGGGATTGCTACAGCCACTGTCGATACCCGAAAGGAAGTGGGATAATCTTGGCATGGATTTTATCACGGGATTGCCCAGGACTCGTTCAGGCTATGACTCTATATGGGTTGTAGTCGATCGCTTGACGAAAGTAGCTCATTTCATCCCAGTGAAGACCACTTATACAAGTGCGAAGTTGGCAAAGATATACATGACCAGGATCGTATGTCTGCATGGAGTTCCGATGACCACTGTATCAGATAGAGGAACCCAGTTTACCTCAAAGTTCTAGAATCAGTTGCATGAGACTTTGGGTACTAGGCTAGAGTTCATTACAGCCTCTCATCCACAGACAGATGGATAGACCGAGAGAGTCAATCAGATTCTAGAGGACATGTTGAGAGCTTGTCGCTAGATTATGGATCTAGTTTGGATGACAACTTGCCGTATGCAGAGTTCTCTTATAATAATAGTTATCAAGTCAGTTTTAAGATGGCCCCTTTCAAAGCACTACTAAGAAAAAGGCTACTAGTAGCACGGGTAAACTGTCTAATAGTAGCGCGGGTACTCGCACTACTAGTATCACGCTACAGCTAACTAGTAGTAGTAGCGTGGGTTGCACCCGCGCTACTACTACTTCTGTTAGTAGTAGCACGGGTGGCCCCATGCTACTACTATCTCAACCAGCGCTACTACTATCTAGCCACCCACGCTACTACTATCTCAACAAACGCTACTACTATCCTAAGTACTAGTAGCGTGCAATTTTCGCCCACGCTACTACTAGCTAATTAGGAATTAAAAAAATAAAATTTAGATATAGTATTCATGGATAGAAATTAGAAACACGTCCAGTGCAAAATAAACTCATGTCACGGAACAACATCTCAACTGGAAGAAATCACAAACATCCCATTTAACATCAGACGAACACAACCATCATCAAAAGGTGGGTACCTTCCCTAGAGTTCCACCACCAACCTAAACAGACCACTTCTATAGATGTATCTACCAAAGCTTGGAGTTCAGACGCCGGTGGACCTTCCCCTGGACGGTGGCATCGAGGACCTCCACCTCGGTGACCTCCGACGTCACGATCACCTGGATGATCATCTATGTGCAGTAGTCGTCGGGCTTCACGGCGAAGTCCGCTTCCAAGTGGTTGAAGAGCACGACACCCACCAGGGCATGGTAATCCGCCTCGATCACCCCTGCACCCACGTCGGGAAAGTGAAAACTTATTGGTTCACGTCCATATCCAAATCTAGTATTGTATTTTCTTTCTTTTTTGCACATGCACATGAATCAATAGTAACAGCCGAACGTTGGTCCTTACTTGTTACAAGAGGCATGATGAAGGTCGGGTCCCCTCCTTGTTGCACGAACAAATCCAAGGAAGACACTGCCGCGAGACGCAAAGGCTAGGTCCCCTCCTATAAATAGCCGAGGTGCCTGAAGTTGTAAGGGATCTTAATAATGAACTCATTGTAATGCATAATAACAAGAAAAAGATCATTCAATTTGCCAGGTTGATAGTTTTGAGACATATGAAAGGATAATGTTGGTAACAGCCTTCATTAACAAGAACAATGGGCCAAAATGACATTTGTTTCACCAAAAAGATTAATGAAGAGATATGTAAGATTTACCTGAGCAACATCAGCATACCCTCTGATCCTTGCAAGAACTTGGAGGCCAAGGTTCCTAGCTTTCTCCCCACTGACTAGCACAAGTGCAGCAAGACCGTCGTTGTACATTGAAAGATAAGAATGGCACTACAGTTACACTGAAAGTAAACATTGCTTTGCAAAACCTATTCTATTATATACTAAAAAGAAAATACGGGTCAAATTAGAGAATTATCCTAGAAAATCAAACAATAATTAGAAACGGCCGGCCATCAATTTAACACACGGTAAAACAATACCCATTAGATTTTGACAATATCTCTTTGGCATTAAAGTTGATATAAATAACCCACCTATGCCATTATGAAAAAGAAAACGTTTTGTTTCTGATCTGAAGATACAGGTACAGCATCCATATAATATATAACAAACCTATGCTGTGTTCAAAAAAAATAACACACCTATGCCATTAAGGAAAAAAATTATGTTTCCAATCTCAAGATACAGAGGCGACCCGGAGATACATGGCAGAAACATATCTTCTTTCGTATATCATCTTGGACATGTACTACATACCTTACCCTTTCGGAAGCTAGCTAGCTACACAATAGCTAGATCGATTCGCCGGCTGGTAACGCGCACTGCCTTTTTTCTTACCGGATAGCAGCTCAAGAACCTAACTAAATAGGATTAGGAATACTACTTGATCATATATAGATTAAGTACAACTTAATTCCAACAGTATACATCGGTACATGGCATGCATCATGTCCTTCAGCATGAGAGAGCCTCATGCATCCTTCAGGAGATGAGACTGATGCCATAGCCAGCAAGATGTGGCTAGTGTAAATAATTGTGCCATCCACAGGAATTTCGCCTACGCATCAGCAACTCTAGGATCAACGCACTATGTAAAAAAATAACTATGACTGGGAAAAATGATTTATATGGGTTTCCTCGTAATTTACTGGGTGGCAGTGCACTATATCCCTCCCAATACAGTAATAAAATAACACCGAACAGAGCTTGAACAGAACTAGTAAGCGCTAGATGAGGGACAGCAGACAGAGCGGAGCGAGCACAACATCAGGGGCTTGATCGATCAATCAATCGATCGGCGCTCGCCACCGTAAGGCCAAATCGGTTATAACCCCTCACCAAACGGGTACTCCAGTCCGCTGGGCTGATTCCCCGCCGCCGCCGACGAAGGGAACCACCGGAGAGGGACGGGGAGAGAGGCAGGGGAGCGGCGGCGTGCATGCGTGCTTACCGTTGCGGCACGGAGGGGCGGACCTCGACGATGACAGGGAAGGAAGAGACGCCGCCGCACGGAGGCCGAATTTCCACATCCACCCCAAGTGCAAATATCAGAGATAACAAACAAAAGTGTCTTCCTAATTATCTTCTAGCGAAATACACTTCAACATTGATATCGAAGAAAAAAATTAGGTCCAATGCATAAGCCATAACAGCTGTGTATACCTACTACGCTATTCACAGTTCAACAATGACATTGACAGCACAGAAAATCATTCATTATAGATAGCAATTGAAAACACCAGCACAACCAGATTGCATAAACACCTCCACTGCACAAATGAAAGTAAGTTGGATGATTGCGCGAGGCCATACATGCCGAGAGCAGCAGCGTTATCTCCAGGGCCTTGACGTCGTTGAAGGTGGCGTAGGCCGTCCTCCCAGTCGCCACCGCGTCACTGCAGCAGTAAGCCCAAAATCGCCATGCGGTTAGACAGACGGGACAAGTGGCAGAGGAATTGGAACGGGGAAGGAAAGGAAGGAAGCCGACGCTCATGGGCTGATGTCGACGTGCTCGATTTCACCGGAGAAGGACAAGAACTCCCGCACCTCCCGCTCCCCGGCCAGATCTGAGATGTTCCGCACATGCACCGTCCTCGTCCCCCTCCTCCCCTCCTGCAACCCACAAGATAGACTGCCCGTCAGCGACCGACGCAATCCAAAAGCAACAACAACAACGCTGCCGCCCGCCCGCCGGCACATCAATCGCTCGCTGACGGCCGAGCGGCTGCTTGATTGCTGGAGACGCCGAGCGGCAGTTTCCCGTGTGCGCGGGTGGCTATATCCCCGTTGCACGGCGTAGGGCGGCCTTCACTTCTTCAATTCTTGTCGGGGTGGACAGCAGAGAGGAGATGAGGTTGAGGAAGAGGAAGAGGGAAGGGGAGGCCGCCGGTAGAGGGGATTTCGATCTAGATCTGGATGGGGGTGGGTACGTGGTGTGGGAGAGTGGAGTGGGACCGTTGGTGGGATAGCGGTGGCGCGGGGTGCCCACCGGCGCTGGGTGTGTTTGCTTGCGTTCTCGTCTCAGCATAGTTGTTCCCTTTTCATGCATGCTTAACTCAACATCTCTCTTCATGCATGCTCTCTTCATGCATGCTTCTAGTGTATTTGTGCTAAGCTAGTGTGGACTCATGCACCCTCCATACACTCTACCAAACACCCAAAAGTGGGTCGAGAAGGGAACTCTTGGGCTCATGCACCCTTCATACACCCTACCAAACACACCATAATAGATATCTATCTAGTAGTAGCCCAGGTTTTACACCCAGCGCTACTACTACTGTCCGTCGGGAGGGTATGGTGAAAATCATTTAGCAGCAGTGCGGGTTTTCAGTGTCCGCGCTACTACTATTATGTATTAGTAGCGCATTTTTATGGCCGCGCTACTACTAATTAGCAGTAGCGCGTTTTTTTAACAAGCGCTACTGCTAAAGTTCTGTGTATAAGGTTTTTCCTAATAGTGAAGCCTTGTACGGAGGGAGGTGCAAGACACCGTTGTTGTGGGATCAAGTTGGTGACCATCAGTTGTTTGGACTAGATTTGATTAAGGAGTCTGAAGAGAAGGTTAAACTGATTCGCGACAGACTCAAGGTAGCCCAGTCCCCACAGAAGAGTTATGCGGATTCAAAACGCAAGGAGACAGTTTACGAAGTTGGAGACCGAGTATACCTTCGTGTGTCCCGAGTTTGAGGAGTTAAGTGTTTTGGAGTTAAGGGAAAGTTAACACAACGTTTGTGGGACCATACAAAGTTCTGGAACGTATGGGAGAAGTTGCTTACAAGCTGGAATTGCCAGAAGGATTGTCAGGAGTTCACGATGTGTTTCACGTTTCCCAGTTGAAGAAGTGCCACACAGAGATGGCCGATATTCCTCTGAGAGATACAGTGCCACTGGAAGCAATTCAGTTGGATAGTGATTTGACCTACGAAGAGAAACCAGTGAAGATTCTCGAATTTGCCAGCCGAGTCACACGCAGCAAGGTTATCAAGTTCTGCAAAGTTCAGTGGAGCCACCATACCGAGGATGAAGCCACCTGGGAACGAGAGGAAGACCTACGAAAGGACCACCCGCACCTATTTTCTAGCCAACCCGAATCTCGAGGGCGAGATTCATCTTAAGGGGGTAGGTTTGTAACATCCCAAATTTTCAATTTTGAATGTTGTACATAGGTCATCATACGTATATCATATTTAAATTATATTTTGGTTGATTCTAGAAATTCTAAGCAACTCAAGGACCCACGGAGAGAGTTGGGGATTTCGTTATATTTGAATTTTCTCAAATATTGAAAAGAGGATCATTTTGGTTTTAATTATTTTTCCTCTTCAAAAATATTTCTAATATTAAAATAAAAGAGAGGGGATAAAATGACTTCTCCAAAATAAAAGAAATATTGGAGGAAAAATGTTAAAATCAAATGATTATTTTATTTGGACTTTTATTGCTCTTTTATTTGAATTAGAAAAATATGCATGTTTTCAAAATTGCATTTTTAGGCCAGAAAAATATTCACTTTGTGCTAAATATTTTATTTAGACAGTGAAAAATTGTTTTTGGCATTTTTAGATTTTTTTTTTCTTTTATTTGGATTTTTTGTTTCGGTGGAATTTTTTTTAAAAGGTTTCCTCGCCCGGCTGGGCCGAAGCCCAGCCGAGCAGGCCGGCCCACCCAGCGCTGCCGCCTCCCTCCCGTTCCCAACTCGGACTCGGTGGAGTCCGGGCGCTCCACGCCGCCGGCTGCCCCCTTCCCAAAGACCGAGGCCCCCCGACCCCCTATATAAGCCGCCAACCCACCACCCACCACCGCCGTCCCACACCCGCAGCCACCGCCGCTCATCGCCGCAGCCGCAGCCGCGAGCCGCCGCCGCCCGCGCCACCGTCGCCTGTCGCCCGCGCCAACATCGCCCTCACCACCGCAGCCCCGTCGACGCCGCCCCACCCCGCCGGAATCCCGCCGGAGGTAGCCACCGCCGCCGCCGCCGTTTCGTTGTTTTTTTCTCTGGTTAACCGTTTGTTTTTTTTAGATCGGTTCGGTTTTTTTCGGTTTAGTTGTTTAGCGGACGTTCGTCCGTTCGTTCGTTTTAACGAACGCTGTTCACCGTTTAGGTTCAGACAGCGAACGTTCGTTCGTTAGTCTGTTCGTCTCGTTCTTTTTTCCAGGGTTTTATCTGCGATTATTTTCGATCGCAATTTCCGCCCTGATCTTCGATCTAGTATAACTTTTTGCTCGTTTATCCAAATTAGATGAAATCAACGCCTAAATCTTCGTCTCGAAGCCATCTTTCTGATTAACCAACTTGAACAAGATTTTGGTACTGTAAAATTTGACTAATCGATTATACGTGCCTAATGACCCCGAGATCAGGAAGTTGATTCTGCAGGAGGCCCATGATTCACCGTATTCGATTCACCCAGGAAACACCAAGATGTATTTGGATTTGAAGGAAAGTTTCTGGTGGACCGGAATGAAGAAGGATATTGCGGAGTATGTAGCCGCATGTGATGTATGCCAGAGAGTAAAGGCAGAGCATCAGAAGCCAGTAAGATTGTTACAGCCATTACCGACATCCGAATGGAAGTGGGACAAGCTAGGCATGGATTTTATCACGGGATTGCCAAGGACTCGTCCAGGCTATGACTCGATATGGGTTGTAGTCGATCGCTTGACGAAAGTAGCTCATTTCATCCCCGTGAAGACCACCTATACAAGTGCGAAGTTGGCAAAGATATACATGACCAGGATCGTATGTCTGCATGGAGTTCCGAGGAACATTGTATCAGATAGAGGAACCAGTTTACCTCAAAGTTCTGGAATCAGTTGCACGAAACATTGGGTACTAGGCTAGAGTTCAGTACAACATTTTATCCACAGACGGATGGACATACCGAGAGAGTTAATCAGATTCTGGAGGACATGTTGAGAGATTGTGCACTAGATTATGGATCTAGTTGGGACGACAATTTGCCGTATGCAGAGTTCTCTTACAACAACAGCTATCAAGCCAGCTTGAAGATGGCCCCTTTCGAAGCCTTATACGGAAGAAGGTGCAGGACACCGTTATTGTGGGACGAAGTTGGAGACCTTCAGTTGTTTGGACCATATTTGATTAAGGAGTGTGAGGAGAAGGTTAAACTGATTCGCGATACACTCAAGGTAGCCCAATCCAGGTAGAAGAGCTATGCGGATTCTAAACGCAAAGAGACAGTTTACGAAGTCGGAGACATAGTATATCTCTGTGTGTCCCTACTTCGAGGAGTTAAGCGTTTTGGAGTTAAGGGAAAGTTAGCACCGCGTTTTGTGGGACCATGCAAAGTTTTGGAACGTATGGGAGAGGTTTCTTACATGCTGGAATTGCCAGAAGGATTGTCAGGAGTTCATGATGTGTTTCACGTTTCCCAGTTAAAGAAGTGCCACACAGAGATGGCCGATATTCCCATGAGAGATATAGTGCCACTGGAAGCAATTTAGTTGGATAGTGATTTGACTTATGAGGAGAAACTAGTGAAGATTCTCGAGTTTGCCAGCCGAGTCACACGTAGCAAGTTATAAAGTTTTGCAAAGTTCAGTGGAGCCACCATACCGAGGAGGAAGCAACCTGGGAACGAGAGGAAGACCTACGGAAGGACCACCCACACCTATTCTCTAGCCAACCCGAATCTCGAGTGCGAGATTCATCTTAAGGGGGGTAGGTTTGTAACATCCGAAATTTTCAATTTGGAATGTTATATATTAGATCATCATTGCATATCATATTTTCATGCATTTTTGGTTGATACTAGAAATTCTAAGCAACTAAAGGACCCACGGAGAGAGTTTGGAATTTCGTTATTTTCATATTTGAGTTTTCTCAAATTTTGAAAAGTGGATCGTTTGGTTTTAATTATTTTCTCTTCGAATATTTCCAATATAAAAATAAAAGAGAGGAGATAAAATGATTTCTCCAAAATAAAGAAATATTGGAAGAAAAATATTAAAATCTAATATGAATTTTATTTGGAGTTTTATTGCTATTTTATTTGAATTAGGAAAAAATGTGTGTTTCAAAATTGCATTAGAAGCCCAAATAAAAGTTCACTTTGTCTGTTATATTATTAGAGGACCGTGAAATTTTATTTCAGGATTTTTGAAGTCCATTTAGTATTTCTTTTAATTGTTTTTCTGCGCATCGGAGTTATTTAAAAAAAAGGAAACCGACCTAACTGGGCCGTGTCCGACTTGGACTTCCGACCCAGCCGGCCTTATAAGTCGAGGCGGAGCCCCGCTAGCCCACCTGACCCCGCCACTGCACAAACCCTAACCCTGGCCACCGCCGCCACTCGCCGCCGCCACCACCTTATGCCGCCGCTGCGCGCAGCCGCTGCCGCCGCCACCCTGTCCCGCCGTCGCCACCCACCGCCGCCGCCCCGTCCCTCCGTTTGATTTGATTCTTTTTGCAAACCGAAGTTCTTCAGTTGAACTTCATTTAGTTGAGTACTTATGTATGATATTGTTTGATTGTGATAGATTTCCCGGAGTGCGAAGCGTGCTACTACGAGTCTCTAGGTTTTGCGGATCATCAGCAAGGCAAGTAACACTTTGATCATATCCTTTATTACCCAGTTTTTATGCATTAGTTTCAACCCTCAAACATTGCATGATTAGGATCTGAATAACATGTGGGATTGGGAAGTAGATGATGAGGTAGAACCTATTGTCCTTTTATT